TATAAGATATACGAACCAGAGTCCTGGCAGGAGCTTTATTAAGCTCCCGACGGCGGCAGCTCCTCCCCTCGAAGCCCCGACAGGTTACAGTTTTGACCAATGGATGTTTAATTTATTGCCTGTACAACCCTCACTTGTTAAGACTGAGTTATGGACTCTCAGAAGTTATGGGCTCTTCAAATAAATCTGCATATTTTCTGAATTACCAAGTTGGTATTCAAACCAACTCTTGTACTTCGCTTACTAAGATTTATTATAATTACCTTTTCTTAGATATATAACCTGGAAAAAAAAGAAGTGCCCAAATTTTGAGCACTGTGAAATGTTCCCCGTTGTTTTCAATGCTAGATAATATAGTACTTTTGGGGAGCTGAGATCCAGTAGAATTGTATTGGAGTCATGACATATTGATTACCCCCCTTGTTTTAAATAGGTAGTCCTCAACTTGTCCCAAGGTGCTTTTTCAAGAGGCAACTGGACTTTCTTCTTTTTCTTTCAAGACATTTTGATTCTCATCCAAGAAGCTTCTTCAGCTCTGACTGGGTGGTGGAGGATTTATATTCCTTGCAGACATTTGCATTCTTTTAGAGAGTAGTTGAGGTAACTTTGACCTCACACTTAGCTCACACTTTAGCTGTGTCCTCAGGATTACTTGAATAATGCAAATGGGTGTGGTGCCTTCTTAGAACTGCTGAAAGGACTGATCATTTTGAGCTACACAACTTACGATCACAATTGGGACCAGAATTTCCATTGCTAAGCAAGGCAGTTGTTGAATGAATCATGTGACTGTGAGAAGTTATGACAGTATTAAGTGTTAGGACCAGTCATAAGTCACCTGTTCTTTGTAACATCAAATGGTCACTATTGTAAATTATGTATTCTTCCTATCTGTCACTCTTGTAGGATATGAGAAATAGAGACATATGTTATGGTTTTGAACAGATGACTAAATATTACATCAAATGAAATTTCACTTTTGTTGGAAAGAATGCCTTTTAGAGATCTATTCCTTGTTAATATGAAACCTTATATAATTATTTACATAGCATTGTTTATTACTGCTGTCAAAGAGATTATCCTGCACATTTCAAACATTATTACTTAATATCTTGCATATGTTGATTTGATTTGATGTACAAAACATGATGATTTGATCTGAAGATTAATATGTTTAATATGCATTCTTAAACTCTTTGTTCTTTACAGCATCTATTACAATATGTACTGAAAATGTATTAAATACAGAATTAGAAATGACTAGCAAAGTCATAACATTTTTAATGTATATTTATATAAATACCTTTTCTCTGGCCCATTTTTTTGCAACATCTTTAAATACTGAAATATAAGATGGATAACCTGAAGATAAAGAAATGGATGCAGTTATTTTTGAGATGTATTTGACTACAGAATAGGGGAGCATTCATAATTAATAAACCAGGATTTATCCTCCCGACAAAACAAAAAAAGTATTGTTTTGTCACTTTAGCCCTAACATCTGATAATTTCTGATATTCTATGGTTCTGGCATCCCCAATCAGAAATTATTTTCTCCGTAAGTATTATCTCACTTAGCATTGATTGGTAGTACAAATGGACTAAGAATATTTTCTGAGATTTTAGATATTTTAGTATGGATGATAGCCACTGAAATTGCATGCCTGCTTTGATGATATGCCTAATTAATAATGGTTTAATTCTAGAATTGGAAGAAAAAATATTATTTTGTGGGATTTTTGCCTGGACCCCATGGAATTTTCATGAATCAATTTATGGCTCGAACAGACCATAAGTATATAGACTATTGATGAAGACCTATGCTATGGAGGATCTAATAAGCAGAACTGATTTTAGAAGAATTGTCCATTTCCTCTTCTTCATTACTGATAAATATCTCTAAATCCCCAATAAACTCTGTAAAAATAGTTACTCAATGATTCCCAAAAGTATAACTAGTCACAAAATATGAATCTTCACCCTTTGCTTCATCCTCTGTAGAATTGTCCTACACTAAGCCATTTATAAATCTCTATTAAATGCAATCTATACTTAAAGATGACAGAACAAACATTTGGAATTTAACCCATTGTATAAAGAAAAGAAATACTAATCTTCTATTCCTTTTCAAGTTATTTCATTGATCTTTGTGCAATTTACAGTACAATAATATATTGGAATAATAATAGTAATAATTGACCTCATAGAAATATTTAAGGCCTTCATCTGTTAAAGTCACTGAAATGCTGAAGATGGAATAGGTAGAGTTTTGTTCGAAACCTGTTTCACCATTTCCTCCATATAAGGCAAGAGCCCAAAACCTATTGTGAAAGTAAAGCCGTGATTAAAGTAAGTAAATAAATATTCAAATTGTAAACAGTGAACATTAACTAAACATTTATAAAAGTGAGTTCTTGCAAAGTAGGTTTTCAAAAATATAAATATGATAAACAATATTGCAGGCCCTTTAATATTCTCAAAAAGATATTAATAGCAAGGATGAATTGATTAATCAGTATACATTTTTTTTCTAATCAACTAAAAAGTAATATATTTTCAAGAAGCATTTCTTGATAACTGCAGAAAGGTCGGGGTTAGGATTAGAGTAGAGGTGTCAAACTTGATTTCATTGAGGGCCACATCAAGGTTATGTTTGACCTTGGGGGCTGGGTGGGTGTGGCTGGGGTGGGCATGGCCAGCTCAATGTTACTTGTGTCAGGGGCACCCCTCCCAATCTCCATTTTTTCTTGCAGAGTGCTGCAGAAGGCCATTGCAGCTGAAAACAGACTGCTTCCAGGGCAGCTTCGTGGGCCAGATCTAACCACCCCTGGGTTAGAAACGTGGTCTCAATCTTTGACACCCATAACTGTTTTACTTTGCGACAATTTTTTCCACTCTTAAATTATAAAGAGGAGGTGGAGGCGCTAGAGATCTTTGTAGAAGTCTGATCTCTTGCAGTGGGCTTTGAAATTATACTGTACTGTGATATAAAAAAATTTAAGACATACTTCTTCCTCAGAATGGAGAGCACACTTCCGCTGCCTTCATGTCCTATCAGCCAAGAAATATAATGCAGTGGCTTCACCCTAAAAGTTTTGGGGAAAAACATTATGCATCAACTTATTTTAAAAGAGCTTGTTTAGAAGAAGGAACGTTTCCTTTATTTAAAAAAAACTGTATTACTTTTCTGTGCATTCAGTAAATACTACCTTATTTCAGATTAGAAGGTCACCTTGAAGTCCCGTGGACAGAAAGAACTAAAATTCTAGTCTGTTCTGATAATAAATGCTATGTTAGGGAGGATTAACACTAAATTTAAAAGCTGTGTCTAGTATTATTTAGTATAATTGGAAAATATAATATTTTATTGAGCTTACAGTAGCGCAGTGGTTAGAGTGCAGTACTGCAGGCTACATCTGCTGCTTGTTGGCTGATTGCAATTTGGCAGTTCAAATCTCACCAGGCTCAAGTTTGACTCCTTCCACCCTTCTGAGGTCNTACATTTTGGATCAGGAAATGTACACAAATATTCTAACTAAGCAAAACACTTTTTGAACTTAGTGTTAATGTTTCTAGAGCAGACTCTTCAGCTGAGGCCATCTAGATACCTGCAATCTACAAAATCTAGATATCTGAGCTATCATAAGCTTTTATAGAATTCTAAGAGTGGCAATCATATATCTGGATGGTGCCAGAGTGGGAAAAGTGATTCTAGAGTGATTTTCCTTCCACTTTTTTTCAGACATATGTGGACTCCACTTACCTCAGCATTATATTCAATCAGTAGTTGATCTCCTGTTAGTAAGTCTTCCTTTTCAAAGAGGTGCATATTTTCACATATATTTTCTACGAACTCAATTGGGTCCGTCTGGAGATACGGAAAACACGATGAAGAAATAATAAAGTCAGAAGACTAGAGTTTCCTAAAACTTAGTCTTGAAACACAGCATAATTCACAACAGTTAGAATCATTTGAATTCCATTATCTAAAATAATGTGCCATTATTTCCAGTGATACTGCAGGAATATTGGAAACTGGAAGCAAACATATACCTGTTCCTGGAAACAAAATTCATTGGCTTCAATCTTCTGAATCTCTTCCCATATCCTGTAAAACAAGAAGTTGTGACCATTATCACATAGGACAGCTGTTCCCCATCTCGGTCTCCTTGAAATGTTTGGCCTGCAATCTCAAACATTCTCAACAGTATTTGTAATGGTTGCATTATTCTTGGACCTTATCTACACATCAGAAAGATACAAGTAATCCTTGAATATGCCCAGTTTCTGTTGCTAAGCGAGACAGTTGTTTAAGTAACTTTACCCCATTTTACTATCTTTCTTGCCATTGTTGTTAAGTGAATCACTGCAGTTCTTAAGATACTAACATGGTTGTTAAATGAATCTGGCTTCCCCATTGCCCTTCAGAAGGCCACAAAAGGTTATCACATGAACCTGGGATACTTCAATTGTCATAAATATGAACCAGTTGCCAAGTGTCTGGATTTTGATCATGTGACCATGGAGTTGCTGCACTCATCGTAAGTGTGAAAAAATGGTCATGTCACTTTTTCAGTGTCATTGTAAATTTGAACGGTCACTTTAAAAAATGGTTGTAACTCAAGGATTACCTGGGACTGGTTGAAATTGAGGGCAATTTTTCTATACTACTATTCATCAGGTGATAGAAAATTACATATAAAATGTGAGCTCAACATAAGCAAAAATTGAAGCCTGCTTTTCATCACTATAGAATAAAAACACCTTCATTCTGGGTGTACTGAATATGCATGAGAGAAAGAAAGATGGCTTATCATGACAGGTTACAGTTTTNTTAGGGTTAGGGTTAGAGTTAGGGTTAGGGTTACAGCACGCTTCTGTCGGCGCGCTGTTGTAGACACGCTTCAGTGCTCATTCGTCGGTGCGCTTTAGAACTCGTGATTTTGTCACCGCGGTTTAGTCAGGTGCGCTTTTGTCGTTCGCACATTTGTGGGTGAATCGGTTGCTACCAGTTTGGCCTGGATGGGCCAAACCGGTAGTAGTGATGGCAGGAGGCTCCACCCACCTGCCCAGACACTTCTACGCATGTGCAGAAGTGGTGCATGTGCAAGCACACACAGGAGCGCACCCAAACCAGTAGTAAAGAAATTGGCAACCCACCTCTGACGGAAACAGTAGATGGCTTCACAATTAATATGAAAATTATGCTGGAATTTTAAACTGGCAGTTGGTCTAAATTAATACAAGGTGACATCAAACAATACATAATAATATTTATAGTATGAAAAAACCCTGGAATTTCAAAGCTTTTTTTTGCTAATTAAGATCACTGGTAGAAAACAATTTTTAAAATAAATATAGATATTTAAACAAGCGCTATAGTAATGTAGGTGTTCTTAAACAAATGCATACAAGCCTAATACATCAATAATACTATGCAACTCTACTAAATCTATACTAAAAGGGCTGGTAACGATAAAGAATTAGGTTTCCAATGCAAATTATGGCTAAGTGTTGTGAAAATAATACCAACTACCATGCAGTTCTAGCAAAAAGAAAAGAAAAGCTGTGTCTTTTATTCAGTAGGGAGAATCAAACTGCAATACTTACCTAGAGATATAATTCATAAACTCCTTTGACTCCTAAGAAATAAATTGTGAAAGGTAATAAATTTGGGGGAAAAAATAGGCAAAGTGATTCTGTCCCAATATTCAACAGTTTTTGCATGAAGATAATGAAATCCCAAGACTATAGGCTAGATTAATAAAGCTATATCAGAAAATTTATAATATATTGATTTCATTATTTTTATTTATTTATTAAATTTGTTTGCCACCCATCTCACCACAACACGGCTCTGGGCAGCTTACAACATTAAAATAAAACTATAAATACATAAAAACATATTAAACAGCAATAGCACTTAGACTTACCATATTTTTCGGAGTATAAGACAGATCTTTTTCCCACAAAAAAGTGGCTGAAAATCTGGATACGTCTTATACACTGAATACAGCATTTTTTTGCCTCCCGAAACCCCGTGCCTTTCACCAAAATGGCCGTGTATACCACTTCATAGTGCTTTACAGCCTTTTATGAGGAGTTTACAAAGTCAGCCTATTGCCCCCAACAATCTGGGTTCTCATTTTACCGACCATGAGAGGATGGAAGGCTGAGTCAACCTTGAGCCTGCCAGGATCAATAATAAAGTCAAATAAAACAATAAAATACAAGTTATAAATAAAGATGGGGTTTATTGTTATTAAAAAATTGTTATCATTTAATAAATATCTAGTACAAGGGTGTCAAACCCAAGGCCTTCAGGCTAGATCTGGCTCACGGGGTGCTTAAATCTGGCATGTGGTGCCAGCCTGGAAATATCAAAGCACCGGCCTGCAGTGCCTATGTTGGCCAAAAATGGGTCATGCGGCAACCTCATGAGGCCCCCATGTGGCCAGTTTTTGGCCTCCCTGGCCTCCAACAGTGCACTATCAGCCAAAAATGAGCTGCACAGAGGCCTCACAGGGCTTCTGCACAGCCAATTTGGCCAGGGAGGCCAAAAATGGGTCTCATGGGAGCGTCACAGGGCTCCAGGTCCCGTTTTAGCCATTACTGTGGTGCAGGAGGCGTCTGTCCCATCTCCCCCATTCCCCCCCCACCATCCCACAGAGGAGAACTACAATGCTGATCTGGTCCTCAAAGAGATCCAGTTTGACACCCCTGATCTAGTAGAACACATAGTTTGTTAAAGGGTATAAAAGGGAGTCCTAATTCTTGCTACCAGCTGATGACCTTCATCATCCCATAACTAAGTGGATTTTGTACTCACATTTTTTGTAAAGTTTCCTTGGACAAGTCCTTCTATCCACAGGTTTGATTTGAAAGCACCCACAAATTTTGTCAGAGACGCTATAGAAATACCATTGATCAAAGTTTGATATTTCTCTATTAATGACCATCTGCCATGCTCCAATATTGTTAGTCGTATGTCTCTGAAAATTCCAAAATGAAGATGTATCAGTAAATATGTATCGATCCTAGATTCTTAGGGTTTTTTTTAATGCTGAAAGCATCATAATAATCTAACTCCATTCATATGTCATTTAATTAGGTATTGGGGCAAATTGTTCCCACTCCTTTCCCAGTGTCCCACCACTAAACACGTGGAACATCTATATGTGAACATCCACTTACTCATAAGAGGACCAAGCAAAATATTTGACTGCAGGGGTGTTTCATGATTATAGGGTTCCAATGCTAGAGAAAATGCACCTCTATAGCAGAAGGTGCATAATGTGAACTCACATTTCTCTACTCTAACACATTGGGTGATGTTGTTCAGAACCTTTCCAAAATTGATCACCAATTTGTGACAGCCTTGATGTGACAAACAATTAAGTATATGAGAAGTCATACATTGAGAACTAATTGCTGGAATATACTTTTAATTCAAGAAAATGAAATCTAGTTTTTGTTCAGTTATTGTTCAGATTTGTTATCTTGATTCTAATTTTCGAAGTGCATCTTCTGGTTTGTTAATTTGTTAATTTGTTTATTAATTCAAGGCCAAATGTTTCTTCTAGCATGGGGATAATTATAGATTGCACATATTGTCTATGGCAGTGGTTCCCAAACTTGGCAACTTTAAGACTTGTGGACTTCAACTCCCAGAGTTCTCCAGCCAGAAGAGCTAGCTGGAGAATTCTGG